ATTCAGGCCTCATCCCCAGCTGGTGACCGATTGTTCCCACCATCAGCCTGGGGTGGGGGGAGCACCCTGCCCTGCACCCGGTTTTGGGGTGAGTCACCTCGGGCAGGGCAGGGCTTCTCCTCCCTGCTGACTAACCCCATCCCCAGGGTGATGCCACATTGAGGTGACGCAGAGTTTGGGGGTGGAAAACAGCCTGGGGCTGGAGGTTGAGCCATTGCCCCGATGCCCCAGCGATGGGCTCCCGGATGGAGGGGGCTGAGCCCACGCACAGGGTGATGGCAGCAGGAGCTCATTGCAGAACAGGAAGAGGAAGGCCACCAGATCCCATCCAGCCATGCCATCACCCCTCTGGCACCGCACACCCATCTACTGCCACTTCCCTCCTGCAAGCAGGCACAAGGCAAGGAGGGCGAGGGGCTCCCTGTGAGGCCAAAGCACGGGGTGCCACCCCCCTCAGGGCACTGGGGCCACTTGGGGACCAGGCACCGGCTGCAGCAAGCCTGGGCTATGGGGCAAGGTGGGAGATGGATGAGGACAGTGCCCACATTTGCTCCCTTTAAAAGTGAGAGGAGGAGGAGGGCAGCGAGCCCCATCACTGTTTTCTGGGCCCCTCACTACAAGAAGGATGTTGAGATTCTGGAGCATGTTCAGAGAAGAGCCACAAGGATGGGGAGGGCTCTGGAGAACAAGCCTGATGAGGAGCGGCTGAGGGAACTGGGCTTGTTTAGCCTGGAGAAGAGAAGGCTGAGGGGAGACCTCAGCACCACCTCCAACTGCCTCAAGGGAGCTTGGAGAGAGGTGGGTGCTGGGCTCTTCTCCCAGCTGATGGGGGATAGAACAAGGGGAAACGGCACCAAGCTGTGCCAAGGGAGGTTCAGGTTAGAGATAAGGAGGAAGTTCTTTACTGAGAGGGTCGTCAGAAGCTGGCACAGGCTGCCCAGGGAGGTGGTGGAGTCACCATTCCTGGATGTGTTTAAAGAGCGGGTAGACGAGGTACTTAAGGATATGGTTTAGGGGGTAGACAGGAGCGGTTGGATGTGATGATCTCAGAGGGCTTTTCCAACCGAGCGATTCTGTGATTCTGTGTTTTCTAGGGCAGCGCAGGAGGGACAGGCGCTGCGTTTGGCTGCCCCATCCCCAGGGAGCCGGAGACTTCCCTTTATTTAGAAGCACTTCCCCGCAACCCCGTTTCTGCCGGCGGGGAAGCGAGGCACAAATCCCAGCCGCTGGCACCACCACACCGGCAAGCAGAAGAGTGATGCTTTCTGCTTTTATTCAATTAATGCAGCAATCTATACAAGAAAAAAAAAAATAATAATGAAACCATGAAATTCCAAACCCTGACAGCGAAGAACCAAATTCTTCCTAAGAACCAACCAGAATTAAAAGATTCCCCCCACGTCAGACTGTACATAAAATAATCTCTGCCCCATTTACAGCGTTTCACACAGTACTTCTCGTATCTCAAACTTCAGAACTGTACAACTTTGTTACAAACCACGCTTTTTCCTAGGAAAAGCTTACGGAAAAAAATATTGCCACTTTCTTTTTTATTTCCTTTTTTTTGTTGTTTTTTTTTTTTAATTTTTATTCGTAACAAAACAAAACAAAAATTTAGAATCTTTAAAAAATAAACCAACAAAATTAAAGTCAGCCAGAACTCGTAAGTGTGGGCAAGGGCACGGGGAAGGAGCAGAGACGGGCACTTCTCGGCCGAATATTCCTCCTCCTGACTGGGAAAGGGAACACTTTTGGCAGATAAAAGACGATTTGCCGCTGGTGGGGGCTGAACCCCAGCCCCCCCCGAGCCGGGCAGCCCCTTCCCAGGCCAGCGCACCTCTTACCACACCAAACAGCCCTTCCTTCCCTTCCTATGGACACAGCGAGCCCACGGCACCGCTGCGAGAGCTCTCGTTTGATCGCTGAATCTCCTTGAGATATGGTAAGAGTAACAAACCCCAAATCCTCCTGTTCTGTGCAGAAAAGCGGGGCCAAACCCCATCTCCTTCCCACCTCCTTAGGAAAGACAGTTCTCATGGTCTGGGCTGTGGGGTGCGTGGGGTTGTCACACTGGATGCAGCCCGATTCCCGTTGTGGGCTGAGCGGGTTACAGGAACCACGTGCTGCGGGTGGATGGAGAGGCTGGACCGCACAAGACAAACACGACAAAGCCGAGTGGGTCAGGTCTGAGCATGGTCTCCCGTGGAGCAGATGGGGAGAAGTTCTGGCTCCGAATTGGAGCTCAGCACCCTCCATCCTGCACCCTGACCTATGGCACCAGCCTGACCCGTGAACAGCTACAGCATCACCAGCATCTCAGAGCCAAAGTTTTACCAGGCAGGTGACAGTAAGGGATCTAAGCATCTGGATCCGCGTGAAAAATGTGTCTTCTGGTTTCAAATCAAGGCTTCACTCTGATGTTGTTCAGTGCAAAAGAGTTAAAAAACCATGTTATCTACACATATACATCCGTGTCTGTAGAAAACGTCTGTACAAGTGGGGAAGGTGGCCTGTCTACACGCTGGGGACTCCTCATCCAAGAGATGCCATGGGTCAGACCGGTTGTGTCCCGCTCTCCATCTGAGGTGTCAACCCCCACCACCAGTCAGGTTGAAACCCAAGAGCACATGAGGACAGAGAGCGGCTGGAGCCACGGCCACTGGCTCAGACCCCACTGCACGGATGTGGGGCAGGGGGAAAGGAAAGAGAGGAAAGCTCCTGACCATGCCAGAAAAAAAAAATCAAGACAGGAAGGATATGGACTGCACAAGGAGCGGGATGAGGCGATGGTTTTGGGCTGAGGACCAAGAGGTAAGACCTCAGGATGCCATGGGTGTCCTGCTCTGGGAAGCAGCCCCACAAAGGCAGGTTGCCTCCAGCTTCATTTTCAGTTGAGACACCAGGGTGGATCCATATTGCAGAGGTAGGAGTAAAAATTGGGAGCTGGAGGGGAAGAGCAGAGCCAAAAGCTCCGGCAGCAACTACGTCCAGGGTGAATTCAGAAAGACATTTAGAAACAGCATCGCCAGGCAGCCTGCAAGCAGGGCTCTGCCTTGGTGGAGGTGTTTGCACCAGCCACGAGGAGAGGGGATCGCTGCTCCCTGCATGCAGTTGTGCTATCAGGGGAACGCCAAGCTTTCCAAAACTGGGGGTTTGGGGCCACGAGCTGGCCTGGATTCTCTGCAGAAAGCTGGGAGGGTGAGGAACACCACTTCAAACGGTGAGTGCGGCCTGGAAAGGGCTCTTTAAAGGTTTCGGAAGCAGCAGAAGCATGAGCTTAGATCTCTGGGCAGACAAGACAAGTTCCTTCGAAGGCTGACCCCGGGGTTGTGCCTGAGCAGATGGGGGCTCTCACCAGAAAAATCAACCAGATAAAGAGAAACAAGAAACAGGCACTGGGGGCCTCACCCACACCTCCCCTGCAGATCAGCAGTGCTGAAGGCAACTCTGCACTAACGTGACCCCAAGATCCAGCCTGAGCAGCAACCCCAGCAACAGGCGAGGGGCAGGAGCCGCAGAAGTCAGCGGGAAGGAAGAGGACATCGAGATCCAGACGTCAGAAAATGTGCTCGATCGCCAAGGAACGGCGCCTGGGCTCTGGGGTTGTTTGACTGGGAGCCCCTCAAGACAGCAGCAAACGGGTCTCAAAATATATTACATCTTTTTCTTGCCAAGCGTGCAGACCATGAAGTGTGCAGGGACGTGACGCTACCAAAAACTACCGTTTGAAGGAGGGCAAAGCAGTAAAAATTTAAAAACAAGACTACTCCTTACAACTGCCAACACTTGGGCTCAAAGAATAAATTGGAGGAAGTTTCTCTTAAAAGTTCAGTTCTAAATATGGTGCTGGGCCCCAAACTTTGCAAACACCGAGGCTTCCGCCTGGGCTAACGCAAAGTGGGTGGGAGAAGAGGAAGGCGGCAGACTCCAGCACCAACGCTGCGAGGCCAAACGCCTGGATCTTCTCAGCATTTTCTGTTGCAAACAGAAAACTCCTGACCCCAGGAATAAGCCCGGAGGAGATGGGCACCAGCTGCTGAACTGGAGCCAAACGAGAGCCTTGCAGTGTCCCCGCTCCCAGAGCCAGCATCGGGGGGGGACGGAGCGCAACCGAGTCTGTTCCTGCTCTGCCAGCACGGCCATCCCTTGGGATGGGATGCTGGGATGTGGCACCGTCTCAGTTCTCTCCACCTAAAAGGGGCAGGGATCCAAAAGCCAGTGGAGAAGAGCTCTTCTCACAGCGGGTCCCACAAGGACAGCGTCTTTCCTACTCCTCTTTGCTCTCTCCAGCTCTGGGAAGCAGCATGTACTCAACACCATCACACACTCCAGCCCCCGGGGCTCCAATATGGACCTGGGGTCAATGCTGGGCCAGCCTCTGCAAAGGCAGCCGTGTTTCCTTCCTCCTCAACCAAAATATAGCCCTGGTCAGAGCAGCACTGAGAAACCAGAGCTTAAGTACATTCTTCTCGGACACAAGGCTGAGTCCACGCCAGCCTGGGAAAAGGGACTGGAAAGGAAAACCTATGGCATTTCAAAACTGGTACTAAAGTGCAACAAAAATGTCCTAAACTCTTTGAAATCAATCGCAGTAAGAGGGGTCTGCAAAGCTTCAAACTTCCAGTTACTGCAGGGCGCCCTTACAACAACAACAACAAAACAACCCAACAACAACTCAGTAAGAGCAGACCAAGGAGCCCTTTGGTGAAGGGAATACGAGGCCACCACAGAGAGCTTCAGCTCCTGGGGTCAAACATCATATTTAGAACATTTGGAAAGGAAGAAAAAAGTTAAAGCAAAAACAAACCCAACAAAAATACAATTCTTGAATCTTGCGCAACGAAACAGTGAAACTTTTTGGTGTTTTCAAAAGAAATCCCAACAAACAGCCTGGCATAACTTTATCTGCTTCCTAAGGGAGAGATGCCCGTTTGCCCCATGACTCAGGGCACCACGTGCGCTGGACATGTTCCATCCTTACGTATGTCTCAGCATTCCTCCATTCATAAAACCACAAAAATCGCTAGATCCTTCCTGTTTACTCTTCAGCCTGAAAGGAAAAACCAAAACTGAAGCTAGATGGAAGATAGCCAGAGGGAAGAGAAAGTTTTCACAGACTGGAGGCCAATCTCATCAGCTCCACGAGCCTGGAAAGCGCAATCCTCAGTGTCGCCTCATCTTCACTTTCCTGGCTGGGCTGCCGTCCTCCTCTTCCTCGTCACAGTCCTCCGTGTACTCGTAAGACCTTCGCCAATAGTTCTCGGAGCTGAAGTTGCTCCGTCTCCTATGTTTTGGTAAGAGGACCGAGCGCCTGTTCTCCTCTTTATCCATTTCTAGAATCCGTGGCCTATGGAAAGAGAGAAAGAGGGAGTGAGAGCACATCCAGGGCAGGACTGAGGCATTCCCTCGTGCTGACACCATCTGCAGTTTGGCATAGTTTGAGCGATACGACTGACCGGGGCACTTGGCAGATCACCACGCTGCACCTCCCATGGCGGGGCTGACAACTCTGCTTTGAGTGCTGCAAGTCCTTCCCCTTCCCAGGGCACGTTTTGGTCTTTACCTCCACCAGAAACACTTCCAACCAGCCCAGTCACCTCTTTTTAAGCACGGCTCGTGGCCCAAAATACCCCTTGGGCTGAGGGGTCTGTCTCTCCTCCAGCAGAAGTCGCAGCACAGAGCTGAGCTCCTTCTTAGGGTGCTTGTGGTGCAGGATCAAACCACAGCTCCAAACTGCTCTGTCCTCTGGCTACTCCTCTCAAACAGGAGCACAACACACTTGTTATTTCTGCAAGTATTTTCCTTGCTCTCACCTGTGATCGCTTTGCAGCAGGACTGAGCTGTGGGCTGCACCCACCACTTATTTTATCCCAGCTGGCAACTGCCAAAATCCTCTAAGAGACACCACCATCTGATATCCACGTTATTTACTCACCTTACACTGGAGGCTTTGAGGCCAAAGGAAGAGAAAAACATGTTTTTGCCACCCAGCTGCTGCAGGAGCCTGTGCAAGTCCCCCCACCCTGATAAGGTCATGTCAGGCTGAAAAACAGCTCTCAGACCTGCGGATTTGTCCTGCACGACCGCGTCTCTAATCATACACCAGGCCACTGCGTGCTCAGAGGTGAGCTTCAATCACAGGCCAGCTTCTCTTCATCTATTTTCCCAGCGAGTCTGAGTCCAGGTGAATGAACACTGCTCATAAACAAAGCCATCCCCACCCTCCTTCCTCCACAACAGGTTGAAACACGGGCTGGGATGGCACCGTGGTCAAACCTTGTGACCAAGCCAACTTTTGGTGCAGAGAAAGCTGTCTCGATCCTCAGAAAGCTTTGGGATTGAAGAACACATGAAACACTGCGTGACAGCCGGCACTACGTTCACACAGAGCAAGGTGGTGCTTGAGGGAAGCCTTGCTGCAGAGCTCAAGCTGTCTGAAACCTCAGCGAGGAGCTCCCCTGAAGGTCAGGTTTACACATTCACAGGCTGCTTACACATACAAACACACACACATCCAGCTCTGCAACCAAAACAGCTTCCCAAGAAGACCTTCACCTCTCCCAGATAGCAAAAAACCTCCCATCCTCTCCCAAGACTGTTTTCATAATATAGTTTAACGCAGCTGCACAGGTTGCTTGGCAATAGAGGTCAAAAATAATTAGCTGCAGGGAAACTATTGTTCTGAATGACTGCATTATCAAGAGCCAGCCAAATCTATTGCTTCTTCATTATGCCACTCACAGGATAAACAATGTAAGCTGCTTACAGCCAGAGCTTAGCCTCTGCAAGCCTAGGAGGAGCGGTTAAAGAACCTCACTCTGCTAAAACGGATCTGTACACCACAGAAAGCAGCCGGGAGGTGCAAATTAGGAGGTTTTTATGTGTGCTGTGCAGCCCCTCTTGTCTGAGAGCCAGAAACATCAGACACTGACCCAGAGATACCATCCAAAACACGGCTTTTGGGAGAGCTCGTCCTACCTGTGAGCAGCATCGGGGTCTGCTTTGCGATGGGACCGCTTTGGTTTCAGGATCTGGTCCCGGTTGCTTCCCGACAGGCGGTCAGAGTTATAACCTGGTGGCAACACAGAGCTACTCAGCGATTTTGTTTCCAATCGAGGCGCATCTAGTCTTGTTCTGCAAACATTGAAAGAGAAGAGAATTTGCAAGGTGTTTCTCCAGAACCACGACCACGCTGCAGCAGACGCCTGTGTGAAGCAGAACCCTCAATCCCCACCACGCAGTTTAGGAAGGGGGTCAGGACTGTTACACTCAACAGCAAAACAAGCTGCAGCTTCCTGGTGCTTTGCTGCCTTGGTGAGAGGGAAGAGGAAGGCGGAGGAACACGTGCGGTTATGTGGTGAACACCAACGGTGCTGGGCTCGCTGCAATCCCAGTTACGAGATGCAAAGCAGAGGCATTGGAGACCCTGGGATTAATCACGGTGACTCGTCAATAACTCGCAGCTCCAGTTCAGCCACCTGGGAGATGCCCTGCGAAATTCATCATCACCTACTCCAGTAGTAACTGCTGCTATCTGGAAACTCCCTACTGGCTCATGACCTCGTGAGGTCAGGCGTTGCTCAGCGTGGCTAAGAGGGTCAAAGAGTTGAAGCAGGAGTCAGGAGAAGGTCCACAAACAGGAGCTGCACCACATCCCTTCCAGCAGCGCAGCACATGCTCCAGCTACACCAGAGCAAGCACAGCTCGTCCCAGAGCAGAGCCATCGCTGTCGCTGGCCCAGGAGTGACCGTAACCACGCACACGAGGAGTGAGGCAGCAGACAGAGCAGTGGGAATGAAAACTCGACAGCGCAGCGTCTCATCGTGGCACTGTCACCATCTCACAGCACAGCACTGGTCTCGACTTACAGGCACCGCTAAGGCCTTTTCCCAAACACAGACTGAAGTCTAAGAATGGGCAAAACACACTAAAAGGTGGTCCCAATGCTCCAGAGCTGCCAGTTTCAGAAGGATCCAAGCCATTTCCCATAAGGAAAGGCACCTGATACTGCTGCTGCTGCAGCATCCAAGTCCCTCCTTGGAATTAGGGCAAATATGGAGGGGTCTGGGTGAAAGAAAGGGGAGAACCACTGCTTGCTCTCTAGTGCTGAGCTTTAGCTGCTGAGGAGGTTTCCACAGGAGACTCCCAACCTAAACCCCTGTTAGGAAGCCCATCCAGTTGCCAGACTTCCTCTCCACCATCAGGGCAAGCCTTTTCAGTTCACCAGGGTGATGCCAGGCTGGCACATGCGAAGATGGGCACAGCGGCCCACATCTGCCCAGCGTGCCAGAAATGAGGAGCACTTCTGCAGGCAGCTGCCAGGTTGGAGCTGGTGAACACCACAGGTATTGCAGATCCTGCCTCGGACATGTCTGGTGGTTTAAACACCTCGCAAATACAACAGCAACTACCGGCCTGCAATTAACACAAACAAACCACCAAATACACTGCAAGGGCAAGGCTTGCAACAGCCACGCTCTGGCTGTCCACAGAGCCATGCAGGTACGAGCTGCAGGAGCAGGGACGAAGAGAGGCTGTACTAAAATACTCGAGTACTACTCGAGTGCTGTGTTCAGTTCTGGGCCCCTCACTACAAGAAGGATGTTGAGATTCTGGAGCATGTTCAGAGAAGAGCCACAAGGATGGGGAGGGCTCTGGAGAACAAGCCTGATGAGGAGCGGCTGAGGGAACTGGGCTTGTTTAGCCTGGAGAAGAGAAGGCTGAGGGGAGACCTCATCACCACCTACAACTGTCTCAAGGGAGCTTGGAGAGAGGTGGGTGCTGGGCTCTTCTCCCAGGTGATGGGGGACAGAACAAGGGGAAACGGCACCAAGCTGTGCCAAGGGAGGTTCAGGTTAGAGAGAAGGAGGAAGTTCTTTACTGAGAGGGTCGTCAGAAGCTGGCACAGGCTGCCCAGGGAGGTGGTGGAGTCACCATCCCTGGATGTGTTTAAAGAGCGGGTAGATGAGGTACTTAAGGATATGGTTTAGGGGGTAGACAGGAGCGGTTGGACGTGATGATCTCAGAGGGCTTTTCCAACCGAGCGATTCTGTGATTCTGTGAAAATGGAGAGCATGTTACCTACCAAAGCTCAATTTAAACAGAACGTAACTACTTACAAAGGAGTGCTTACAAATGGCAGCATAAACCCCCTGAAACGACTTTCAAGACCTGCTTCAATCCGTCTCATTTTTACCTCCTACCTCTTCCAGCATCTCATGAAATCGAGAGCATCATTTCCTCCTCCCCAGCATCTTGCTCCAAGTGCTTCCAAACCTTGCTGGCTCCTGCACTCTGATACGCAGCAAATGCCGTTACCATCACCCCGCTACAGCACCAAAGTGTTTATGACCTACTTGGGAACCACGCTGCTCTAGAGCATCCTGCAAAACTCACACAGCTTTGTTCTGCTGCTGCCACCAGCAAAAGCCGTCTCCCGAACCACGCACTCGGAGTAGAGGCAAGAGCAGACCCAGACTCCAACGTCTGGAGCCCAGCAGGCTCTGGCAGCCGAATATTGCAGCTCATAGCTGCAGCAAAGCTTATGCTGCTGTATGACCGAACTGATGCGATCCTGCTGGAAAGCTGCAGGCTGATCCTTACCACAAAGACGAGGAAAAGGAGTTTTACGAGGCCGCTGGCTGCTCTCTCGTGGCAGCAGGCTACCAGCGGAAGTAGCTCTTTTCCTGCTTGCATAACACGCTATTTCGGACTGCGCCAAGTCGCGTGATCCGGGACCAGGGAACGGCGTTCGCCGCAGCAATCGATGCCGCGGGGACGCGAGCGCAGACAAAGGTCACCGCAGCGCTGCTGTGCGTGCGTGCGCGCACGCGGGGCTCGGCGAGGAGACGGCCGCCGTCACAAGGGATAAGCAGCAATTAATAAGCTCTATTTGGCAGCGATCGGAGCGTGCCCTTTGGCAAACGGGCAATTGCCATGGATTCGCCAGGGCTGCTAAGCTCTGTGGAGATTACCCAGGAATGATCACCGGGGGGGTTTCTATTTTGCTCAAGAGAAAAACCCCGTTGTGGTTTCGCTCAGCCTGCCAGTCAAGTCAGCCCACTGCTGTCTGCTATGACTGGGCAGAGACACTTCTGCTGTAATGCCCAGTGAATCAGGCCCCTAAAACAGGGGGAAAACACAAAGACACACTGCTACAGACTGGCTGAGCAAAAACAGCCAGTGCGGCTCTGCTAGGAGCTAAGGGGCCTGGTTTGCTCAGCAGCGATGCACCAGGTCAGTGGCTGCATCTCAGCCAGCGAGGAGCCTGCCCAGTTGTGCTTTGAGGACAGCCAGGCTAGACTGAAATAACTCGACGCCCTGGGCCTACAGAGGCTGGCAAAAGCAAGAGGTCGAAGCAGTTTAAACAAATACGTTGGGTATCTGCGCCAGTTCGGGCAGCTTTAGCTTATTTAACAGTCTGTCTTTTCTAGGGAACTGCTCCACAGCCCAGGACAGGCAGCTTCTCTAACCCAAAGCCCAATTAAAGCAGATAGAGGATTTGGAGATGCCTTCCACCGGTGCCTGTCAGCACCCACACAGCTCTTCCTTGGCTGCAGGAACCAACAACGTGAACATAACAGCCTTTTAGTTCTTATCGCAACCCTCTCACCTTAAACCTCATGTGGCAACAACCAGCTATGGGTGGTTTGGCTCTAATCTGGCTTTCATCCCACTCCATCACCTGTCACATCTCATCCTGCCTCCCTGCATCCACGCTGATTTTGCCAGGCTAACGCCTCAGGGCTGCTATTTTCCTGCCTTCATCGCATGGCTCTCTCGAGCCAGATGTCCAACATTGCCTTTGTGCCACATCTTCACGTTGCCAGACTTGTTTTGAAACCAACTAAGCTGGCCAAAGGCTCGGCAAGTCTGAATCCAGACCACTTGCCAGCCAGCATTATGCCAGCCTGGGCCACAGCTGCAGCCCTGCCCTCATGCCCATGCCTCCATGTGGGTTTTCAGCACCCAAATCTCGTGTGTTTCCACTTGCAAAAAGTTTGCTTGACAACAGAATTATTGCTAACACCTTCTAAGCCAAACCAACACGGATCAACACATGGTAGTCACATCTTTCAGTCTCCTGATAGAAGGAATTGATGAGAGAGGACATTTCTGGGCACAAGAACAGGTTATACTGAGGAGTTTGGGGTGGGGTTGGTTTGGGATTTTTGTCTTTTCCATTTTCTTTCTGAAGGCCTTAGGAGCTGGCTGATGAAATGCCAACTGTGTATCTCCTAGAACAGGAAGTGTGTGATGCAGCTCACAACACTTGGCTTCCCAACACTGACTCAAAGGACAAGCTCTGTAAACGCATCACTGAATTCACTGCATTTGTTTCCCTTCCTTCCCAGGAAATGAAATCCATGCTCCCAAGAAAACTGTATCTGCTTTATAGGAGATCCTTCATCAAAGCATCAGCTTGAAAGGACCACCCAGGTAAGTCACACACATGGGTATTGTATGATCTGGCCCCTGAATATGTAGCCCAAAACACGAAATCCTGGCTGTTTGCAGCTACCAATCGAGAGGCAAGATCAAGCCAGCAAATTAACAAGGAAGTTAACAGTTCTAAAGTGTTTCTCTAAAAGCACCTTAGGAAGCATCACATCATCACATCCAAGTTTATCTTACTGTCCGGAGGGCTTCAACACTCACTTTCGCAGGATGATGACAGCTCTCCTCTCCTTGATGTCCTGTGGTCGAATACAGTGTGTAATTTCATCGGCTGCATACCCACTGACAACAAAAACAAAAAGCCACTGTGAGAAAGATGCCAGGCAGAAGCAGAAAGCAGTTGCCAGCCCCAACAGCTCGGTTTGGCCAGTGATAGCAGGAATTCCTCCTCCATTCCCCAGGCACATGGGACTTGGACTTATAGGAAGGAAAAAACTTGAGGAAAGAATGAGGACAGGCAGGGCTTTTTTTTCCCCTTATCTTTTGGAGTCAGTTTTTTAGCGTACACCAGAGGAAACTGCCACAACACTGGGAAATAGAGATATGTAGAAAATGACTTTATGGAGTGTAAATTCAGTCAATTCATTTACCAAGAAATTAAAGAGTGACAGGGGAAAAAATGAGCACATTGCTCCAAAGCATCTTCTTATGCACTCTCTCAAGGAAAACCATCTCTCACGGCTGAGATGCACCGTGTACCCAGACACGATTGTGCACCAGCACCAAAGGGATTTGTCAGCTCTCCCCACCACCTCCCATGCAGCACATCCTCAACCACCACCCCCAGCACAGCTCAACCCCAACACAACGCACGAGGAGCAATGCAGACCTGCAAACCGCGCTGCACTCCCAAAACCTCCCTCAGAAGGCCAGACAGCTACACGGGCCAATGAAAACTAAACCAGGCTTGAGCAGCTACATCAGCATGCAGCAGGAGAGCGCTTCCCTGTACGAGATGACTTCACCCACTCCATGTTTCCAGCAAACAGGAGAAAAGCCATGGCCAACACAGCACCCAGGAGTAGTTTCCTTGGGGTCCAGCACAGCACATGAGATCGCTGCGGCTCTGGGCAGAGCATCCATCACACCTGCCCAGACAAACCAACCACCCTGCCAGGAGCACATCTCATCACTCGCATGGGTGCTAACGAGGTCTTAGAGACAGGCCTGCCCTCTACCTGCTGTTTGCAGAGGCTCTGTTCACAGAGGATCTTTCTGCAGTCCAATATGGGCAAAAGAGAAGGTAAACACCTCCAGAGCCTCCCAAAACGGCTGGCGAGGACAGGAAAACCTCCCTACCGAGGCTTTATCACAAAGCTGCTGCCAGCCCTGCAGGAGCACGGCCAGGGTCACCGGTTGCAGGTTATTCAGGACGCTTGGAGCGGAGACCGGATCACGCACACGCAGCTCTTCTCTGGGGACAGGACCGGGTTTCCTTGATCTGGTTAGATAACCCACCCACTCGCCGAGGAATGCACACCTCTCAGACGGATTTACTGCTTTGAGAAGAGAGTTAAGAGTCTAAAACCTGATCAGTTAAAACAAGGGCTCGTGTCCATCCCCCCGGCCGCCAGGGCGTTGCAAAACAAGGCAGCGTTATGCGAAGGGGCTTCTAATGATGCTCTATTATGTTCCAGGAATCTCTGCGTCAAGCTCCAGCGAATTCATGAATATCAACCCACGTTAGCATTCAACTCAGCACATCCTCAGCGTCGCCCTGAACATCAGGAAAAGGTCTTCTCCATCACCAGGTGTCAGCTTGGCTGCTCCTTCTCACTCCCCAGGCTGGAATCTGCTTTCCAGTGCACTTTGAGCATCAGGCAGAGCTCATGGTCCCAGCACCAAAGCAACAGCCTCAATACCCTTATGTGAGGCCTTAATGGGGACTCACCAGTCTGCCCCAGTGCCACACTGGTGTGGGAAAACATGAACTTCTCACCCGCTGTCTGCCCCTGCCCCATCCTAATGACGGGTGAAGGGACACAAGGTGGAACAAAACACCCAGAACAATACTGAGGGCCTACCCAAAGATTTCTTGCCCAAAGAACAACCCCAAAGCACGAGGTAAGAAATAACTCGGTAAGGAAAACCCTAAAGTGCAGCCCATGAGAACACCCAGGTACAACATGTCCAGCCTTGAGCATTTCCCACATGAACACGGGGCGGTGAGGACCCCACCATGCGCTCCCTCAACTCACACCCCAACTCCTACCCAACCTGTTGGACTTCATAACCCCACGTCTCTTTTTCAGTCCAGAAAAGTCACAAAACTGATTCGTATGTGGATGAAAGCAGGGGGTTTTTTTGTACAAACATCACCAGAAAGGAGGCCCTGAAGTTCTGCAGTCTCTAAAGAGAAATATTTCCAGGGGCTGACAACAGCCAGGCCAGCTCAGAGGCAGGGGGACCTCACACCCAGCCCATCACAGGGTTCAAACAGCTCAAGCCTTTACTTGTGGTTCAGGAAAACTGCTGCCACAAACCACGGATGCGACAGCGACCGGCTCAAGCAGAGCCTGAACAGATCTATTTGCCTCATCACCAGCACACGCAGAACTTCCTCTGCACCAACGGCCTGTTCGGAGGGATCAGACTTTTCTGGAAAAGCTTTTAATCCAAGCAGATGAGGAGAGGCTCCTCCAGCTGGGAAGAAAGCAGGCTCATCCTCCAGAGACCCCAACCAGCTCCGATTATGCGACGATCAGACGTGCCTCGAGACAACAGGAGAGACAAACATCACCGCGCTCCCGCCGCTATCACAAACAGCGGGGACACCACCTGGAGCACTCGCCAGCTGCAGAAGGGAAGCCCATATGGCCTACAAACTCCCAAAAGTTGGGAAATGTTCCCTTTAGGCATTCATTGCTTTGGCCAACTGCACTATTTCCAACCACGGTGCTGAGATGCAACGCTCCGCAGTTCAACAAAAGCTGTCTGGGTGCTGCGATTTGCTACTTACGGCTGCAGCGCTGTTTCTATGGATTGATACTTACCAAATTATCTTTTAAAAAAAGGAAGAAAACCCACAAACGTGGTCCAGGCAGCAGATGTTGGACAGGACTTAAATCCAACTTAATTCTGCCTGAGAAGAGCAACACTGGCTGTAGCAGGACACACCTGCAGGAGCAGCCAATTCCCAGGGCTGCAGGAGAAATGGGCACTGGAAAAAGTCTTCCTTGAGGTGTCCAAAGCCACAGGAGCAAATCTTTATCGCAGATGCAAAAGGAGAGGAAAAAGTGCCTTGCTGGAAGAGCAAAGGGCTCATTCGCAGGTCGACGGGGTGGCTTAGCCTTTGTCCTGCTGGCAGCAGTGCACAGCCCAGCCAGGAGAGTCTCCAGGCCAGCTTTTAAACACTAACCTGTCCTCCTGAGATCCCAACACTTCCCAGCGAGTTTGTTTGTCTGCAAACAGCACAGCCTGCTCACCGCAGGCAAATAAAGCCAAGGGAGGGATATGGGGAAGCCCCTCTGTCAGGGAGGTGGCTACAAAATCAGGAGGACAAACTGGAAATGGGTGCTGAGAGCAGAAATGGGACAGAGATGACCTGGGGAGAGACGGAGATCCCACAGCTTTCTTCAGATCCTCACGATTCCCAGCCCGTAACCAAACGCGTGCGGGCCCCCCCGCACCAGCCACTGACCCAGCAAGATTCGAATCGCCGGCATTACAGGCATGGCATTTCTATCCGCGTCGTCTCCCATCTCCAGGGTAACTGCTGTCGGCAACTGTTTACCAAGAGGAGAAACGGCCAAGTTTGGGGAGTTGATTTAAACAGGACCAAGCGCTGGATTTCGGAGATGCACCCCTACACCCTACCCATGGTCTGCACCTCGCCCCACTGCTCCCAAATCGCTGGGGTTAGAGGGGAGATGAGGATCTGAGGAACTTGCATCCAGCCAGGATCGTATCATCACTGAACAATCACTTTGGCAGAATCTCCCTTAAGTGAGTGCTAAGTATCTGTTAACTGCTGTACCCAAATTGAAATAATCCCTGTTTTAAAGCCTATTATTTGCTGGAAAGCAGAACATCTAACTGTGGATTAAACTAGTGAACACCTA